TTCCCTACAAAGTGTGACCATTCTCAGGAAGCACGGGCCCACCCATCCCTCCTACGTGCTGCAGAGCCCCAGCAACCGGGACTCATCTGCCAGGGAATTTCTAGTCCGATACCCCAGGATTCCACCCTAAAAGGACTGGGGTCCCTGGAAGGAAAGGAGTTTTCTCTTCCTGGCCAGCAGTGTTTCCTCCAGAAGGACAAGTACGGAAGACCATTGCTCCCCACCTCCGACTCCCATCTCCCTATCCTCCTCCATCTGCTCTAGCTTAGAACAGGGGCCAGGGGAAGGGCAGAGGCTAAGGGATGAGCTGTTGCTCCTCCACATGACTGTGTGGCCTGAGTGGCTCTGGGTCTCATTTTCCTCTTCTGTAAAATAGGATGGAAAGGAGTGAAAGCACCTTTCTTCTGGGGCCATGAGGAGACCACCTATATGAAGAACCTACTAGTACCTGGTGTGTCCTGGGTGCTCAGAAAAACCCGAGTTCCCTTCTCCTGCTGTCTGTCCCCTCCCTCCTACAGGGAGTCCCCCCATGTTTCATCAGCCCTCACTGATCACCAGCTGCCCCAGACGTTCTCAGGTTCTCTATGAGGCTGTGAGCATGCGTGCCTGGGGCAGCTGCATTTCTGCCAGAGTCTGGCTTCTCTAGCGCTTACCTGCGACGTCGCTCCACAAATGTCCTTAGAGTCTGGCTTCTCTAGCGCTTACCTGCGATGTCGCTCCACAAATGTCCTTGAAGGAGTGAGCGAACAGGGTGAGTTTCAGGGGCAGCAGAACCGCTGTGGCTGTCCCTGGGCAGGATAGAGATCTTTTGGCCACCCTGGGCCTCCGGAGTCCCAGCTGGTAGTTCCTCCTGCCCAGCTCTCCCCTGCTCTTATCTTATTTCCTCTCCAAGTATCAGAAGAGGGGCTGACTCCAGAGCTCACAGTCAACACACCCAGCCAGCCAGCCCTGTGGGAGCGAAGGGCCGTGCCGAGGATCTGGATCCGCAGAGAGCCCAGGTCTGGGGGTGCTGTGGGTGGGCAGGGGTGGCCTAGACTCCTCTCTCATCCCCATCCTCGGGGCCAGCTGCACCTTTCTGCCCTGTGTGTGCAACAGCACTCATCCCCTCCGCTCTGGGGGTCAGGAAAAGGAGTCGTGCACAGTTTGACCTGGTTCCTATTCTGCCATGGGACCTTTGAACATTTGCTTGACAATGATCACAGTGACAAGACATAGCACTGGCTGGTGCCAGGCAGGCCCTGTCCTAAGTGCTTTTATATACTAATTCTCCCCAAACCCCCTGAGCTAGGAACTCATGTGATAGAGGAAGAAACAGGCTCAGGAAGGGGAAAGGACTTGCCCTGGGTTGCAGAGTGAGCGGGTGTTGGAACTGGGAAGGTATCCCCCACCTCCCTGCCTTGTTCAGCCTCACAGATCAGCGGCACCTCCTCTATCCTCTGTCACACTCCAGGTCACAATCAGAGACTTTCACTCCAGGCCTCTCCTAAGGTTCCTGCTGCACTGCTGTCCTCGGGGTTCCTTCCCTCCAATGCAGAGCCCTGTCATAATGGCCAACGCCACACTGAAGCCACCCTCCCCCATCCTGGAGCAGATGAGCCGTCTCCAAAGTCACAGCAACTCCAGCATCCGCTACATCGACCACGCCTCTGTGCTGCTGCATGGGCTGGCCTCGCTGCTGGGCCTGGTGGAGAATGGCCTCATCCTCTTCGTGGTGGGCTGCCGGATGCGCCAGAGCGTGGTCACCACCTGGGTGCTGCACCTGGCACTGTCGGACTTGTTGGCCACTGCCTCCCTGCCCTTCTTCACCTACTTCCTGGCCGTGGGCCACTCGTGGGAGCTGGGCACCACCTTCTGCAAACTGCATTCGTCCATCTTCTTCCTCAACATGTTCGCCAGCGGCTTCCTGCTCAGCGCCATCAGCCTGGACCGCTGCCTGCAGGTGGTGCGGCCAGTGTGGTCGCAGAATCACCGCACGGTGGCTGCGGCCCACAAGGTCTGCCTGGTGCTCTGGGCCCTGGCGGTGCTCAACACCGTGCCCTACTTCGTGTTCCGAGACACCATTCCGCGGGTGGACGGCCGCATCATGTGCTACTACAACGTGCTGCTCCTGAACCCCGGGCCTGACCGCGACGCCACGTGCAACTTGCGCCAGACTGCCCTGGCGGTCAGCAAGTTCCTGCTGGCCTTCGTGGTGCCCCTGGCGATCATCGCGTCGAGTCACGCGGCCGTGAGCGTGCAGCTGCGCCACCGCGGCCGCCGCCGGCCCACCGCCCCCCCAGCCGCTTCGTGCGCTTGGTGGCGGCGGTGGTGGCGGCCTTCGTGCTCTGCTGGGGGCCCTACCACGTCTTCAGCCTGCTGGAGGCGCGGGCGCACGCTGACGCGGCGCTCGGCCCCTGACGTGGCGCGGGCTGCCCTTCGTCACCAGCCTGGCCTTCATCAACAGCGTGGTCAACCCGCTGCTCTACGTGTTCACCTGCCCCGACGTGCTGCGCAAGCTGCGGCGCTCGCTGCGCACCGTGCTGGAGAGCGTGCTGGTGGACGACAGCGAGCTGGGCGGCGGGGGCAGCAGCCGCCGCCGCCGCCGCGCCTCCTCCACCGCCACCTCGGCCTCCTCCTTGTCGCTGGGCAACCGCTTCCAGTCCCCGCTCCGCCCCGCGGGCCTCCTCAGCTGGCTGCGGGGCGACCATGCAGCGTCCCCGAAGAGGGACCGAGCGCGATCCCAGGATGAGAGGGGCCCCCTGAACCGGGCGAGCACCACTTCCGATTAAGATGAGAAGGCGCGGGCCGGGACGCCAGCTGGGACCTTTCCCGCTCACGGAAGGCAGAGGTGGGGCAAACATCCAGTTCCAACGCGTCAGGAGGGCACTGTACTGAAAATGGAGATATTCGGACTCCAGCCTGAGATCCTAGCCCGGAGAGAAAGCATCTTCCGTGCAGACCTAGAATCTGTATTTGAAAACATCATGGGCGACTCTCGTTCCCCCCCCCAAACAGAGTGAGTTAAAGTCGCCTTCTGATTTTGACGTGCCTGTGACCTTGTTAAGGTGCGGTCTGACACCAGGGTGGGTGCTGAGGTTTTCTGCATTTCTAAGGAGCGCCCAGGTGGCTGAAAGGGCTGCTTGTCTGCAGGTCATACTTGGAGACAAACTTAAACTGTTAAAAGACCTCTCGGACTAGCTGGGGGCAGCTCCCTGGAGCAAAATGTTACCAGATGATGGTGAGGGTGTGTGTGTGGGTGTGTGTGTGTGTATCTTAACCTTAAACCAGTGACATTTTTGAAGTAGAAAAGTTACAGACTTGAGAGGTTCCAGTCTAACCTCCCCACCTGTCATTTAGCCAGCATTTCCTTTTTTTTTTATTTTGAGTTTTTTGCTATAGGGCGCGTGTGCTCACCAGACAGAGACAGAAAGCGAGAAATCACCGGGAATGGCCATGCTGCAATCCCTTCTCCATTCTCCTCTTGAGATCTTGGGCACGCACGTACACACGGCCGGCATGAGTTTAAGCCAGCGGGTCCGGGACTCGAACCGCGGTCGATTACATGGGAGTCCAGCGACATAGCCATTACGCTAACTGCTAGTCCCTAGCCAGCATTTCCTAAGGGATCACTGCTCCTAGCTGTAGTCTTGACCTCCTTCAGGAGGTGGACAGATAACTTGTCAAGGGCTGGAGGTGACAGGGTCCGCACTATAACCTGAAGCCTCACGTGCTGTTATTATCTAGTAAGTGAAGAAACAGTCTCTGATCTACCCAGGGCACTTAAGACAGTGGCTGCCTGGGAGCTTCCACCTCTCTAGCGACCCAGCATTGCCCGATGCCCAGTGTTTCTAAGGTGGAGAAAGCACTGAGTGGTGGGGCCCAGTGTTTGAGAAACCTGGCCTACCCGAAGTCCAATGGGCCTCATTACCGAAGGCCTATCTCTGGTAAGTGACCGTGCACGCTGCCTCTGAGACCACAGCGCAGGACATACAGAACGAACCTGACCCTGGCACCTTGCACGCCATCCATGCACTGGTAATCCCAGATCTTTGCAGCACCTGCCTCCAGGCCACATGGCTGCTGGACAGTCATCACTTCTAAAAGCAGATAGGAGGGGCACCTTGTATCTGCTCCATCACTGCCACTGCACTGCATCTGTTTCCTCTAACCCACACGGGTTTGTGGGCAGAGGGCAGTTTAGGCTCCGCAGCCCGGGGCACTGAGAGTCGGTGGCAGTAAATGTTTGCTGGGTAAAATGTTAGTGGAAGAGTCACTCTTGTGGGATCTTGGTCCAGTGGTCCTTGGGCCACTGAAGGCTGGGCTGGCAAGAGTGTAGCTTCTGCTGTGTCAGGTGGAGCCAGGCCCACTGCAGGTGCATGGCAAGTGGGGCAGGAAGATGACCATGGACTGAGCAGACACCCCCTCCTAGCACCGCACCTGTGCTCCCTCCTCCCCCTTCCTGGACTCACAGCACACTTCCCCAGGACACACTGTCTTTTATTGTTTATTAGGTTTTCCCCAGCAGAATGGAAGTTCCTCGAGGGCAGGGGCTTTTGCCTGTTGTCTGTACTCCCTGCGCCTAGGTTCATGCCTATGTACCACAGGCATTTAATAAATAATTTTGTTGTAGACGGGATGCGCATGTGTTAGTCATGTCTTTGGGGCTTATGCAGTCTGGTGTGGGAGAGGGGGTGCTAAAGGGAGACCCCACTCCCTGCAGCCTCGTTTCTATCATTCAGTGTTGGAAAGTGGGGAGAGGCTAGATGTGGCTTGCAAAGTAACAAGGCTGAGGGGTGCAGAGGCACCCAGAGCAGGCTTTGGGGTTTCTGACTGCTAGCCTCCAGGCCTGGGTTGCACCCAGGACTCTGACACAGGACATACACACTGGGGGAATTACTGTCTAGTCAGCAGCTCATGAAGAACCAGAGAATTTTGCTGTTCCTGATCGGAAGGCACTTGGAGGAGGGGGAAGGAGTGGGGAACCGAACCTCTTCTCTCCCTCAGTGTTGGCCAGGGCCCAGCCCCTCTGGGCCTCTGTCCCACGAAGACCTGGCAAGAACCTTCGAAGGCTCAGGAGCCCCACCTGAGGGTGAGGACCTCGTTTTGGAGCTGTAGAGGTGGAGCGTCAGTTCCAGCAGAGGCATCCAACCAGTGGCCAGAGATCTGCCATGTCCGACACAGCTGCTGGCGAAGGGAGGCCTCGGCAGCTCTGGCTCAGACCTTGGCTGCTGGCCGCTGGGGCGGCTGCTTCTGCAGCAGAGCCAGGGTGTCCCGCTTCTGGATGGAGCGTAGCTGCTTCTTCTTTGCCCGTTTGATCTTGGCAGGGTTTCGGATCTGAGGGTGGCAAGAGGGCAAGGCGTTAGTGTGGCACAGAGGCAGGGCCCAGGTCTTACAAGTGCAATCTCCTGAGTGAGAGGAGAGATACCCACCACTTGGACAACCTCTGCCTTCCGCTCATTCTCCAGGCGGCGTCTCAGGTTCTCGGCCCGGCGCTGTTTCTTTTCCTGGAACACAAGGGGGACAGGGATTGAGTCTTGGAGCCGAGGCTTGGTCTCTCAGGTCCCAGAGGAGTGAGAGCTGGCAGAGTTTCTGGGATGGAGGGGGATGGGCCCTCCTCCGTGGGTTTCAGGTTGTTCCTAGTGACGTGTGGGTGGCGGGCCAGCAAGGAGCAGTCCCTGTGTCTGTGGGACCAGGACCTAGAGGTCTACTCTAGTGGATAGTCTCGGACTCCATTTTAGAAGGCAGGTGCCTAGACAGGCCGCTGAGGACAGGGCCGAGACAGCAGGACTCGGTGGCCGGAGACCTGGGTGGCCCCCACCTAGAAATTCACGCATTTGTAGATAGCAGCCCTCATACTGGCCTCCTCATCGACTGCCAAGGGAGGAGTGGGCTGGTGGTTCCCTCACTCCCCCTCTCCCTCGGATGCCCATGTGCCCAGGAGCGGGGAGAGGGCTAGGCTCCTGAGGTGTCACAGTGGGGGCTGGGAAGCGAGTGAGCACAGAGAAGAGGCTCTAGGGCTCTGCCTGGGTTTCAATCTTGACTCCACTTTCTCAACAGATGACCTCTGGCTACATCTCTGTGCCTCAGTTTCCCTATCTTTAAAGTAAAGCTGACCTCAGAAGAATGTTAAAAAAATAAATGAGTCCTCTGGCTACATCTCTGTGCCTCAGTTTCCCCATCTTTAAAGAAGAATGTTAAAAAAATAAATGAATGGGGGCCAGCAAGTGGTGTGGAGGTTAAGGGCACTGGACTCCCACATGGCTGACTGCAGTTCGAGTCCTGGGCCTGGCGGCTTGCTTTCTTGCTTTCTCTCTCTCTCTCTCTCACTCTGTCCCCCTCTGGTCAAATTAAAATAAATAAATAAATAAATAAAGTTGAATAAAATAATAAAAATAAACAAATGAGTGGGTCCACACGTGGGGGTTGGAATAGCACCTGTGAGAGGTTCACCCCCAACATCTTGGGGCCCTGATGGTTTGCCCTGGGAACGGGCAGTCTGTGACTTCTGGCTATGCTGACTCTGTCCTCTAACAGGGCTGGAGCAGGAACATCACTTCCAAGGCTGCCGCACAGCCAGGTGCCTCTTTTGGCTTTGGCAACCTCGGGTGGCAGGGGTGGCCTGGGCCCCCAGGGAGAAAGGAGAAGTGAGACACGAGCTCCTGAGGTCGGGGGGAGGTCTGGGCTGGGTTGGGCAGGAGCACCACCCTGGTGCACAGTGAGAAGGCAGCTCCGAGTTGCCCAAGAGGGAGCCAGGGCCACAGAGGAAGTGAGATAAGACCTCAACATGCATTAAGGCATTGGCTGGGTGGGGGCGACTCAGAGCAGGGGTTGAATGACGGATGTTTGGCCCAGCTCCTCCTCAATGGCCAGGCAGGGCCCACAGCCCCAGGATGGACCATTGGATTAATACCGAATGGGCGTCCCAGAGTCCGTGCATAGCCGGTACCCTCGATATCACTGGGAGAAACCTAGACAGGGGAGCCAGGATGAGACAGTCTCTTGGGATCTGGGACCAGTGCTCCTTGTGCCACTGGGGGCAAGGGTCTTAGCTGGGGTCAGCGCTCTTCCTACGCCCCGAGGGCACCGAAGAGTGACTGCTTCTGCGGTAGCAGAATCGCTGACCAGCATCACCACCAGCTCGCTCTTCCTGTGTGCTGCCTCTGAGTGTCCCTCTGCCATCCCACTGAAGATGGTCCCCGGCTGACACTGGTGCAGCTGGGCCTTTTTCAGGAGCTCCCTGGAAACTGAAGACTTTGGGGTGAACCTCTTCTGGGGCATCTGTAGCACTGGGATGGATAATGGGAGGGAAGTGGAGGAAAGGGCCATCCATGTTGCTGGTATGTGGCAGCCGCTTCTCGGAGACCCCTGTCCTTGAGCCGCTTACTGAGGCCCAGTCTCAGCTGGACAGTGCAGTGGGAAGCCCTACCCTCATGACGCCTCTGCTCTGGTCAGGCTCCTTTCCTCTGGGGCGCCCTTCCTCTTGGGCTCAAGAATGTCTCACGACCAAGTCAGCCTCCCCCAGGCACATGTGCAAGTTTCCTCCACCCTCGGTTACAGCAGACCCTGGCTCAGCCCCCAGAGCCTCACCCCGGCTGGCCCCTCACCTGCCGGCGCCTCTCCTTCTCCTCCTCTAAGTGCCGGGCAAAGTCCTTGGCCAGCTTCCTCTCCTGCCGCTCCTTCATCTTCCGCTGCCAGGATGTACGTAGGGGCTTGTCCTGAACCATCTGGGAGAACCTGGATGGGCGAAGAGGGAGCTTGTGGGCACTGTGGGAGGCTGCCCCCTCTCTCTCAGCTACAGACTTGGGAACTTCTTCCCCGTCAAAATCACCTCCCTGCTTTCCCAGCAGTTGCCCTCCAGGTCTGCAGAGACTCGGCATGGCACACCTGACCGGGCTGGCTGCCATTTCTCAAACCCTGGGTATGTGCCTCTGAAGTGGGCACTCTTGTTCCCTCCATTTCTCAGGGAAGCAAACCCAGGCTGAGAGGTTAAATAACTGTGTAAGGTCACCTTGTTCCTGAGCAGCAGTCAGGACTTGAATCCCTCTCTGTGACCACAGCATCTGGGCCACATGGCCTCTGCTGTAAAGGTTTGCTGCTTCTGTCTGGGGCAGTTGGTCAGGGTGTGAGTCCTCTGGAGAAGGGGGTACTCATTCCCTACAGCGGCAGCTCTATTCCACTTCAGAACAGCAAAAATGGGTAGTTGTCTGTTATGATTCAGAACCTCCCCCAGGCAGGGAAGATGCGAAGAGGGAGTGGGCATTGGCAGATGTCAAGGAAGTCCAGATTTTCTTAAGTGTTACTACTTTTAAAGTCACGGGAGAAATGAAATGACCTCTGTAATGCACATTTAAGGATTTATGGGAAGGATGATCTATTTAGGTCGTGTTGTAAAATACTTCAGGAAAACCAAAAGAGAGAGAAAATGTCAAGGACCAAAGATGAAGCTAGGCCAGTAAGATGCTGAGAACTGTCGAAGGTGGTGATAGGAACATAAGTGTTCATTAAACCAGGGGTCCCCAAGTCCTAGGCAACGGACTGGTATTAGTCCATGGCCTGTTAAGAATTGGACCGCACAGCAGGTGACAGGTGGGCAGGCAAGTGATGCTTCATCTGTATTTACAGCCATTCCCCATCACTCAGTTACCACTTGAGCTCCACCTCCTGTCAGATCAGTGGCAGCATCAGAGTCTCCTAGGAGTCCCCAGATGGGACCTTCTATCAACAGTTGCAGGAAAACAAGCTCCGGGCTCCCCATTGATTCTGCATTATGGTGAGTTGAACTACTTCATTATATATTACAATGCAATAATAATAGAAATAAAGTGCACAATAAAGGTAATGCATTTGAATCATCCTGAAGCCACCCTCCTGCACCCCCTCCCCCAATGAGGAAAAACTGTCTTCCACAAAACTGGTCCCTGGTGCCAAAAAAGGTTGGGGACCGCTGCATTAAACCGTGCTCTCTCGTTTTTCTGTATGCTTGAAAATGTCCATCATTAAAGTAAACACACAATGAAAACAAGTGTCCTGGTGTATTCCTGATCTTAAGTGTTCCTTCTTTAACCATTTAAAGCTGATTTGGAATCAGATCTGTGCTCAGATCCTGTATCCATCATCTGTTTAGGACCCCTGAGTCTCCGTTTCCTCATCAGCAAAATGGGAATAACACCTGCTTGATAGGGCTGATGTGGAGATGCAATGAGATGATACACGCTGTTCCACGTTTGAACCAGCTCTTCCCCTGGCCAATCCTTATTAAAATGCTTGACACATTGGGACCAGCAGTTAGCGTAGTGGCTATGTCGCCGGACTCCCACACAGTTGACCGTGGTTCGCGTCCTGGACCCGGTGGCTTAAAACTCACCCTGGGCACGTGTGCGTGTGTGCCCAAGATTCCAAGAGGAGAATGGAGGAGAAGGGATTACAACGTGGCCATCCCCCCTGGGGGGTGGTGATTTCCTTTTTTTTTTTTTT